CCCCAACAACCAACAAACACCTATTAAAGATAAAAATATAGTCCACTAATTTTACTGTGTTCTTGATTGAGTTAAAAAAATATTGTTGCCAAAGGAGACAGCTTTCCTCCGACAGAAAATCAACGTAGCTACGACACATTTGAAGATAAACTAGCACTGAACGGTCTCCTATAAACCGTAGCAAGGAGCATGGATCAGAGTATAAGTAACCATGTTCTAAAATGCTGTGTCACTTAACACTTCAATTAAATAAAAACTATAGCCATAAGTTGTATTACAACTGAAGTGCAATACTTTCAATAAAAAAACTCATATGCTAACTCTTCAATCGTCATTATTTTAGTCGTGACCGACCACCAAATTTAGGGCATCAAAAGTTCTAATACCACTTCTCATGTTTCAAAATCTACGAATCATCCAGCTCCACAGGTTAAAGTATCAATAAGAATAAGGGAGAAAAGCAAGATCCAATCAAAAAGTGTGGGAGAAAAGCAACATCTAATAAAAAATTGTAAGAGAAAGGGGTAGAGCGGTGTGTGCAAGTGTTAGAGAGAGAGAGAGAGAGGAGCTGAATAATGTGAATGACATAATGCAACAAGGTAGAGCTCATGAAATTCCATAAAACTCAAAAGCATAACCGAGTCCATTAATCAACTTGCCCCACAACACAGAAGAACTAGTCTTTTACAGGTTGATATATCCGATGGAAGCAATGTCTTTCAACTTCTAGAATATGATATTCTGTAAACTTGTTCAGTTTCAGACAAATCAATCATGAAAACATGACCAAGAGACAATTCAACCCAGCACCCTTCATGCATAATTCAAACGAAATATGTCATTTAACACATAATAACTTCCTTGCGGTGTTGGCATCAAATGAAACATCTGCAGGCCAAGAAAGAAGAAAATAGTCATATTAGAAATTTGAGATGCAAAGAAGTTCAGAAGTCTAATGTTCATGAAGTATGAAGGGATCAAAAACGTGCAGTTGCATAGAATTAAACTTCAAAGCCCAGAACCCATATGAGCCTTTAATGGCCATATCCTCCCACATAACCCCGCCAAATGCAGCATTATCACTATTGAGAAGCAAAAACTTTCACAATGATAAAAAAAGACTGGACATGAAGAAGGAAGGAAGAGAAGAAAATAAACAATCAAATATCCTTTGTTTTCTTATCTCCTTAAGTGTGTAGGTGATAAAATGCAAGATAAACGCAGATGAGGGTGCTCTAAAATGAGACCAGAAGAAAATAAACAGACTTCTCTCTGAAAAGAGAGTTCAAAAAAACCCTCTGCTACAAGATGGTTCATTCAATAAAATAGAAGTCAGAAAAGAAGAAGAGAGAGCTAACGTCAGATCTGAGTGCACGAGAATAACTCCAAAAACCAGCCAAATCACGTCTGCCAATTATAGCCACTGAAGGTATTCAACAAAGAAAGAATGCTAATAGTTGAAGGTAGTCTAAAACTTTAATTTCTCCCTACCATCTATCAAATTAAAGATGATAAAACAAAACCGTGCCCATAACATCACATCTGCTCAGGCTCCTTAAAAAACCCAGTAGGTTGACAGTCAGCAAAGCTAACAAACCCACCTCACTCCGCACCAGATTTAGGAAGGCAAGTGCAACTAACCCATTTGACTAGCGAATTAAGGTAATACTTCCAAAGCTCTGCCAAACCACTCTTTACCCTCGCTTTCTTTTTTTCTCTCCACGCGTGTATAACTGTTGTATAAATGAGGTATAACACCACATGACCTCAACAAGTTTCACCTACAACGGTCATAATGCCCATAAGCTTCCCAAGGGCGAAATCTATATGGGCTTGAATGTTCTAACACACTAGTCTCACCAATCCCAGAGGTATCTAGATACTCGTGAAGCTGATGCATGATGCTATGGGGTGCTCATTCCTAAATATAACATGTACAAGAGACTCTTGATCAGTTTTATAACTAACTTCAAGTAAAATACATGTTTAGAAGATGAGGTAGCAGGCATCCCGTGAAATTAATCGAGGTGCTCGCAAGCTGACCTGGACACCAAGGTTATCAAAAATGCATGTTTAAAAGATTGTGTTTGAGCATTCTTTCGTCTGGCATAATGGAACTTATATTTTTTTTTTTTCCTAATAGACTCTGGGTTGCTCAAAGAGGCTGTAAACTTAAACCAAAACAAAAAAGTGCAAAAGAAAGATGATCGAGGTATTCACAATGTCGAGAGCCAAGATTTTGTAGTTTTTCTCTTTCTCTTGCAGGAATATATTAGCAATTCTTTCAAGTTGCATCGTTCCAACTGTTTGTTCAGATTTTGATGCCCCAGCCCCCAGGCTCCAACGAGCAAAATCAAATCTTGTGGAGTCATATAACTAAATTACCTTTTCAAAGAGACACGTTTAGCAGCCTAGTTGAAGAAAGTGACAAAGAAAACTATAGGGAGAAAGAGCATTAAATGTATGGATTAGATTTGTGTGCCGATACAGCATAACTCACGTGTAATTGCGTATCTAACAAGCTATCTTGTTGACTGTTGTCTCCTTCTAGTAAGCAACTTGTACACTTCAAAACAAAATGGTCCGAAAGATAAGAGATGATTGGTGACATCTCGGGCATTTCTAATCAAAATACAAACAAAATCTACGCCTGATTTCTATAATATCATTGGTTAACATCCCAAATGAATGAATAATACAAACCAAGAGCCAAAGGACAAACCTTGAGTGCACGAGATGATATAGGTGAATATCTAAGTAGGTTAGTATATCATAATTCCAAAAACAACTAGTGATGTCAAAAGACTATTTTTTAGGCTCCTTAAGCTTTTAATATCACCCTAAAATCATTGTCACCATAGCCATTCTAGCAACTATTTAAAACTATAGAATGATCAAGGCAATATTTCAGGTTATAAAAAATCACTACAGGTATTTGCATCATATGTTCACATTAAGCCACGTTTCTTCTCACTTAGCATCTCAACTGCTAAGCTGAAATGCCTGATCTCATATAGGCTCACCTCTCCTCCATATACAACAACCAAACAGAAATCAAAACAAACTTAAACCAAATCACGTCTGACACACAAAAGCAACTTTTAATCTAAATCACATGGCAGACGATGTAACTGAGTAAACTACTTGAAACATGCCAAAGATAACATCTAATAGAAACGGTAAAACAAGCGCATCACACACGATTTTTTTTAATGATAATGATGTCCAGGCTAGCTTGTGTGCACCTGACTATTGCACATATGCCGGGTAACTCTGCTCACCAATGCTTGACATATGGAGAGACATAACCTACTGTTTTTAGACTTGGATTTGAACCTAGGACCTCATGGTCCCCTCCTCCTCCCAAGTTCATTCACCACTAGGCCGATGCAACAACCAACCAAAATAAGAATAGACAAACTTAAACCCAAATGACATTCTGGAACAGAAAAGCAACTTTTGATACAAATCGCACGACAGAAAGTGAACCGAGAAAGCAAACGCATTGCACACTACAGTACAGAAAGTGTAGGAGAAGTGTTTGTCAAAATACCTGACTGAACTTAAGAGGATGCTGTTCGCCGGGGAGTTGGAGATTACCGCTGACAAAGACAAGCATGGCGCCGCCGGGACCAGAGGGCTGGGAATCGACGGTGCTGATATTGTGTTTGCACTGCTGAAAAGGGAGACCGGTCAGCTTGTTGACGATGTTCTGAGAGCCCTGATGCTTCTCCCCTTCGAAGGTTAACATGGAGCCTTCTTGGTAGAGGTTAGAAAGCCCGACCCGATTGGAGTCGAAGGTGGAGTAGTAGTGCTTCACGAATGCCGTCGCCACATCATCTGGATCCATTTGGTTTTCGCGAATTCACACTACGCCTCTACCTTTTCTATTCTCCTCCTTTTTATAAACTCGGGAAAATTCGAATATTACCCTCTGGTGTCGCTGCGATATTACGCTAAAGTGTTTTGGATCGGAAGAGACTATAAGTCGCAATTTTAATACGATTATAAGTCGCATTCTGCCAGCTATGTATAAGTCGCAAACACCTAATGCCAAGTCGTAATATCTATAAGTACCAACCAGCTAATTTGCAATTTATATGTGAGAGATTTATAAGTGGCATTCATGTATCCCGATTATAAGTTACATTTTATGGGTTCCATTTAAGGCTGTATTGTGGCCCGGGACCGGCCCAGGACCGCGGGCCAAACGGGCCGGTTCAACCGGGCTTGGGCTCTAGTGGTGCAAAAGCTCGTGGTGGGCCGGGTCAAGACAATTAGCCCGTGAGTCCGGGACCATTAAGCCCGGGACCGATAGGCGGGCCTGAGCCGGTTCAACCGGGCCCAACGGGACTAACGGGCTCCAATGGCTAATTTTTTTTTAAAAAAGACCAACGGTCAGATTTTTAAAATCTAGCCATTGGCCTTCAAAATTTATCCGTTGGTCACTTTAAAAAATAGTCATTTGGCCCCCAAACTTTGCTTTAACCCCAAACTTTTTATAATTATACTTTTTTCCAATTCTCAACTATAAATACCCCCCCACCCCCCATTCTTTCATTTTTACTCACAAATTCATCAATCTCTCTCTAATTTTCTTCTATAATTGCTTACTTTATTATTGCAATTTCGTGAAAAATTGTGAAGTTGGTGAATTGAAGTATTCAAGTCTTCAACGATATTCAATTTTCAAGAAGTTGTTCGTCAATTCGGTAAACTCGTTCCAACTCTTAAGTTTTAATATTATAGTTTTGTTAGTTTTATTTAGTACAATTATAATTAATATG